GCCCGGGCGGCTCCCGGGCGCCTGCGGGAGGGGCCCCCGCCCCGCCGCCCCCCGCGCGCGTTCCAGTTGCTTGCTGATGATTATTTTTCCAGCAGCTGCGGCGGAGGAAGAGCCTCGGCCGCTGCGGCCCGCGCGCCGCCCTTCGCTCCCCGAACGAATGGGATCCGCGCGCGGGCTGCTCCGCCTTCGCGTCCCGTCCGCTTTTAGCCTCGCAACCTCCCGGCAGAGGTAGCAGTCAGCACCTGGGTTTGGGGGGAAACTGAGGCCTGGGTAAGTTACGTGAGCCGGAAGTCACCAGCTCCTGGAACCCCCTGGGGGCTCTGGGAATACCCTACCCAGGTTTAGGTCGCCCCACAGTATGTTTGTAATCACTGAGCCATACGCCACAGGAACATTCTAGAATTCCCAAGTCATTTAAAGTGGCAGTTTCCATTCATTGCTAAGTCCAAAGCGATAATTCCTCAGTCCAAGTTATGTCATGGGGAACATCACCCACCGCTTCCAGCGGGCACCTCCTTTTCAGGAGCTGTTTGGGTCTCAGTTCCACCTGTTCCTTTCTGCATCCTAACTCCTCATGCCTGCCCTTCCCCCGCCCCCATTTGCTTTATGAGATTTCTGGAAGCTTCTGTTGGAGTAAAGCCCCCATTTGCTTTATGAGATTTCTGGACGTTTCTGTCGGAGTAAATGTTTGCTTCCAACCTGTGGCCCATGGCGGAGTGGTCTGGTTTGTGGTCTAGGAAAGGGCTGCCTTTGCTGTACACAGTGTTCTTTTGGAACAATTAATGCTTATTCCGGGATTGACTGGCTGGGCCTTTTGTATTAAAAGCAGCAGCTAATATCTCAGGCACTGTGCTGAGCCGAATTCTCTCATTTAATCCTTTCAATAGGTCCATGAAGTAGATGTTGCCATTTTCTTTGTACAGATGAGGAAGTTGAGGTTCAGAGAGGTTGAGAAACTGGACCAGCTCACACAATGTAAGTGGAAGACGTAGGACTCAGTTACCCTATTCTGATTACTGGTCATATCCCTCTTTGATACTTTGAATCTGGTTATTTGGTTGGGAGATAGTGAATAGAACACAGGAATTTTTGTTGGGTTTTTATCACCTCAACCTCCAGGGAGCTCTGGGCCAGACCCCAATTTCTGGGAATAGAGACTTGGGTGGCTGATGCTCTCAGTCTGGAATCTTCCTTTTTCTGGCCATATGAGGTCCTGAACAGCCATATGAGGTTCTGAGTGGCTTGGGGTCTGTTGTGGAGTTTGGGTGCTTTTCACTGTACTTGAATGGGAAAATGGGGTCCTTTGAACAATTATCTGGATTCCTAACGCTGAATAGCCCCCATCCTCTAATAGCCCCCATCCTCTGCAAGACCGTGTTTTCAGATTCCCAGCTCTAAGGGGTAATGGTAAGAACTAGGGAGGTGTGTGGGGCTGTGGGGATGGGTGTTTGATTTTGAATATTAGCAGTGTCATTTATAACAGTTAATGTTATCATGTGCCTGCTGTGTGCGACATGCTGTGCCAAGTTCTGTACATACATGTTTTCTCATTGCATCCTAAGAGATGGAAAGTTGGCACCCAAAGAGGTTGTGCACCTAGGAAGGTGGAATCAGGGTTGGTATTTCTCTCCACAGGGTCCCCTGTGTCTGTGCAAGAGGAAGTCATCCAGGAGCCCCAGAAATGAGACTGCAGATGCTTGCCTTCAATCAGTGCAGAAAGCCAAGAGGTTCCTTGGTGCCGGTGGATTTTGAGAGAGAAAAGCAATGGCCTTTGTCTCCTTTGTGCTGCAGCTGTCTGCAGTTCCTCAACTCTGAGCACATTTGTTGATGGATTTCCACAGCGGGCCTCCGTATCTCCACCTGTCCTTTTGCTTCTGTACGATGCCAGTCACTGGGGCACCCACATCCCAGCACTTGGGAGGGAGAGCCATCTGCTTGTTTCCGTTCTTCAGATAAGGAGCACAGGGTACCAACCTGCTAGGTTGTTGGTCTGTGGGCACTCAGTGGGCTGGCTCAAGGTAGAGCAAAACCACTGAACTCTGGGTCTCCAGCCTCTGCCACTTAGCTCTGGGGAAGCAGGAACCAGAAGTCAGGGAATCTGATATCTCCTGGTCTCAATTTCCTGGCCTGTGAAGAACTTTGGCCTATGTGGTCTCTCATGGCCCTTCCAGGCATTATTGGAAAAATAGCTTCTATTTATTTATTCAGTTCATCTTTATTAAAATCCATCACCTGCCAGGCACCACTGTTACAGGTGGTGGAGACAAAGCAGTCAACAAAACAAAAGCTCTGTCTTCTTGGAGTTTACTTTTTAGATGAAGATGATGCCCACAATTAAATGAATTAAATGTATA